TTTGATCATTATTATGGGATATCAACATACACAACCAACAAGAATGTGCAAGCTCAGGCCTGGTTCTGTACTTGTGGCAAAAGCTAGTCACTTTTACTGCCTGCAGTGGAAGGGTTAATAATTTGATAGACATGGCTGCACAGAATGTAATGTACAAATGATAAGTTAACAAATGATTTTGTATTATAAGTAGTTTTGACATATAAAATGTACAGTATTTAAAAAGCACCAAATAAATAAGTCTTACCTTGATGGCAGCAACTGAATCTATCCTTGCAACCTAGGCAGACCAAGATCAGCTGGCATAACCCTAAAATGTCTAAAACTATTGTACACTGTAATCTATTCAGTTAGTACATTTGAGCCGCGTCATGACAAAACCAACATAATGGCTTTGCGACCAGCATGGATCCAGACCAGCCTGCGCATCCGCTTAGACTGATCAGGATCCATGTTGTTCGCTATCAGTTTCTCTATGTTTATAGGGTTTGTAAGCAAACAGCATGGATCCTGATCAGACTGCTCAGATGCGCAGGCAGATCTGGATCCATGCTCAGGTAGCAAACGCACTATGTTGCTTTTGTCATGACGCGGCTCATTTGTTATAATTTTCCCTTACAGTTGATTGGTTTTGATGGACATGTCCATTTAAGACATTCAGAGTGATAAGGGTATTTAGTACCAGCAATTATACATTGAACTTTTCTGGATAAAGTCAGAATGAATTCTGATAGATTATATACATTGAAAGTTGCATGTTTTCTTTCTATTTTCCTCAAATATTGTAGATGATTAAATTACACCATAGAGAATACAGGCTGTAAATTTTCAAACAACATTATCCATTGAATACAAATTTGGAGCCAAAAACCTATTTGCATTAATGTGTTTTTAATGTATTTATGGCGGACATTTATTTTCATGTTTTACTAAAGAGTTAGGGTTGTGTTTTTTTAAAGAAAGACAGATTAAACTACAGATTTTTTCTTAAATTAAATGTTGGATGGCAACTTTTACAGAATGTATGGCATTGATCAGATATGATCTAATTTGTAGTTTTGATATATGTAACTAATAAATTTATAAGGCTAGAAAATAAACAAGAGTTTTTATGACCAACTTAAAGAATTCTTTTTCATTATGTGTCGTTTTGATAAGAATATGGGTACCACAAAAAAAACTGACAATAATGTTAATAGTCAACCATGTAGAATTATAAATGGTTCCTTGCCGAAAAACTTGGTAGTAACTGGTTAGCTACCAAGGAAAGCCAGATAGGTATAGACTGGTAGCCCAACAAATTGTGCGCTTTAGGCAGACGATGGTCGACCTTCTTTACGTATTTACGCGTAAAGACAGACATCCATGAAATATCAGATTATAAAATCGGTCTGTCTTGCCGTTGAAATATTGAGACTAGGTAGACTGGTTGTGGAGATATGACCAAAATATTTGTTAAAAATCAGTGTAAAAAAAACCCAAACAATTGAAATCTAAGTGTTGATAATGTAAAGATATTTCGCTTATACCTCCTATATAACCGTGTCGTGATTTATGATTTTCACCACTTTGGTTTGCCAGGCTGTGTTAAAGATCAAGTGTAAAGGAGATCATCTTTTATCATGATTTACAACTTTGGCTTGATAATCGGTTTTTTAGCTGGCCACTGTTAATGACAGTTGGGTTGAATGAACGTATTAGGTGAAGAAAATAACACCAGAATTTATAATGTTTTTTAAGGATGTGAAAAAGAAAACAAAACTCTGGCTTATACTTTAGTTTGAATTAATAACATTAGATGCATTATATAGATAATACATGTATGATATTCCTGATATTCCAAATTATTTTATTGTTTTAGACCAATATATATTGTATGCTGTATTTTTTGTACCAGAAAGAAGCCCAAGCCCAAGAACTATAATTTCTTTCTTACTAAGCCAAAGCATAAAAAAAAAAAAATTAAATCGTTGAAAATCAAAGTTTAAAGCTGCACGCCTCCAGATAAGCGAAAATATTTCAATAAAATCAAACCTGAGAAAAATGTACTAAGATTTTAGGAAAAGTGTAAAGATTTAAAGTTCTAGTAATAATTTACATTTTATGTGCGATTAATGACCGATTTTTCAGTATTTATAATTATATTTCTACTGCGTTACTAACGCAGTAAGGGTTATTTTTGCATATTTTGTCCTCTTTTAGTAATTTACGTAGGTTGTAAGTGCCATTGATATCGTGTAAATTGCTTCCTTTTGGTTATTTCACTGAATAATACTTATAAACACATTTTCAAATTTTTCATGAAAATTAGCACGAATCTGGAGGCTTTAAAGATATTTTTTGCATGAAGGATGTATGTAATAATGTTGTATGTTTCAAGTTAATTATTAGTTAATTCAGATTTATTGCAGCTTTTTCTTGTAACTTTCATCAATTAATCTTAAATCAGGTGAACCTAATTGTTTTGTTAAAACCACTTTAAAGACTGAATTGAAGTTGATTTTTTTTTCACACTTAAAAAAAAAAAATTTGCATGGTTTATTATGGTGTACAATGACACATCAAAAACAAGTACATCGGCTACAAGAAAACTTTAAACGAGTGTTCTTGCGTACATGATAAAAGTTACAATAAAATACAAAAAAGTACGGTACAGAGGGAGCGAGACGGCCTTTTTTTGTTTGTGTTAACATGTAACAGCGAAGATGTAATCGTTACACTAGGGTTGACTGAAGTATTTTCCTGCCAGTTGCAATTTCCGACAACATCTATGTTCTGTGTTTTCTTGCTACAGCTATAATTGACATTACTTGACATCACTTGACATTGTTGAAATGTTCATACTAGACGGGGCTAAATTTAATACTTGTTGGGGAAATATTGTTGTGTGTTAAAGAATGCCTTATGTATTTTTTATATTTGAAGAATGTAGCAATGTTACAGTTGATGTGATGATTTTTATGATACTGCACGTTATGTAACTCGCTGTTTCTAACATCGCTTTTCATTGGATCACCTTGACGTTTGTATAAACTAAATTCATACATGGCTGCTGAGAAATTATAAAGTTATTTCATGTTTCCTTCTAAAAAGCAAGTTTGTCGTATTATAAATTCTTATAAAGATTCTTGATAATATGGCCATATATAAACAGTTGTTTGCAATATAACTAACCCGCGTCTAGCAGCTAGGGTTTGGGTTATATTTACAAATAGCTGTTTATATAGGACCATAATTATAACCTGTCAAGAATCTTTATAACTAATAATATATACCAAGTATTTTTGACACAAAAAAATAAAAATCTTGCCAAATATTTTAAATGAAAGTACTCACTTAGTTATAAGTATTTAAAGAACAACAATAACAAAATAACTATGAGATATTAATATAAATACTATTGTGTTAAATAGAAATTGTGTTTCATATACATAGTTTACAGAGTTCTAATTATTGTAAAAGAAAATTAAAGTCCATTATATGACGACTGAAAATAAATTCCCTGCACTAATTGTACTTAGTTTTTGTACTTTAAAAAGAGTCAAAATGTCACATTTTATTTTTCACCTTGTTAATCAGTTTGACTGATACATGGTTGACATTAATGTGCTTTTCGTTTTTGTCATCCTCTTTATTTTGTCACATGTTTTTGTTACGCGCCATTAAAGTCAAGAAAGTGTGAATGTTTAGTTTAACATTTTCCCTCCTTTGTTGTTAGAAATAATTTGATTTATTTTTTATGTACAAAAAAAAGAAAAGAAAAGAAATAAGTTATGTATGCATCAGCAGGTCAGCTTTTTCTTGTTGATATTTGGAGAAAAAAAAATGTACCGGATAAAATGTGAAACAAGATCTTCCGAAGTGATGATATGTTAAACTAAGTCTGAGACTTGGCTGCGTGGAACTAAAACTAACCAGAGTACTGGTATCATTTGGGGAAACATAATTTTGGCTTGAACCCATGACCACTGTATTGAGAGGCATACCCCTTAACCTTAGTATGGTCAATACAACCCTTTGATAACATTTTCAAGTAATAAAAAGTGAACCGTTACAAATTTAAAGGCGCCATTGCGTTTTCACACATTCCATATGTTATACCTTTTATGTTGCTTTTGATATAATGCAAAAGAAAAAAATAATGTAAATTTGTAATAAAATGTTTTTGATGTTTGAATTTAAAGACGAATTTCACATAGTGCATATTTCACACTAGATAAACAAGCAGTTATGCTTGCATTAGCGAAACATTGAATGTAACGAATACATTATTATTATCGTCACTATTTGCTGTTCAATTATTGAAATTGATGTAATACTACACTTTTCATTATTTGATGATTCGATAACATGCGGGGACTGAAGAAACTAATGATGCACGCAGATTCTCTGTTAAGATTTAATTATATTCCCTTGACGCTCAGGTTTTATAATCGTCATTTGTGAAAGCTTTAGATGTAATACATTCAAGTGAAATAAAGACATTTTATCAGGTGCAGCGCGTCGCAGTGTTCCAGCATCTATAATGTTTTACTATTGAATGAAAATGAAAATTCTGCGCAGACGGAATTCTGCTGATTTAAAGTTTTAGTTTGTCTAAAAAAATATTTGAAGCAATTGATTTGTAGTTGTCGGTTATTTCTCACTGATTTTGCAGTAAATTTTAAGACTGGTTGTTTTACTGCTTTATATTTAGAATTAGAACAGGTGGTACCTTTTAGGAAAATTTCTGGAAAATAGTCATTTTTTCCGGATTTCTTTTTAATTTAATCATCTATTTGATTGCAACAAAGTTAATGTCAGGTTACAGGTTTTGGAAGTCCTTTTGGGATTTGTTTACTATTGCCCCAACCCAAGACCCCAATTAGCCCAACCACCCCCACCCACCCACTCTTCCGTTATTTGTTTTAGGTTACAATACAGCAGTTTAATTATTGATACTTTTGTTATTAATTGGTTGTTAAAAAATTTACTCAGGATTTAATCATTTATAATTTCAGAGTACAAGAATTATTCCGATGGCAGATGGAGGTAGCCGAGGATACGTATGACTCTCGTGATCGCGGCCGTGTTGTCTGGAGTATCGAGTACCAGCAAAATGGTATGACCAGCGAGCGATACTTGTCCGAAGATTCAAAGATCATCTCTCAGATCAACATCCGGAGTAAAGATCATCAGAGGCTGGTTCCTGTATTAAAGGTAATTTATTTGTTTAAGTGATTCATGATCCATTTATCTCATTCATAATCCATTTATCTCATACATCATCCATTTATCTCATTCATCATCCATTTATCTCATACATCATCCATTTATATCATTCATGATCCATTTATCTCATACATCATCCATTTTCTCATTCATAATCCATTTATCTCATTCATCATCCATTTATCTCATTCATTATCCATTTATCTCATACATCATCCATTTATCTCATTCATAATCCATTTATCTCATACATCATCCATTTTCTCATTCATAATCCATTTATCTCATTCATCATCCATTTTCTCATTCATAATCCATTTATCTCATTCATCATCCATTTATCTCATTCATCATCCATTTATCTCATACATCATCCATTTATCTCATTCATAATCCATTTATCTCATCCATCATCCATTTATCTCATTCATCATCCATTTTCTCATTCATAATCCATTTATCTCATTCATCATCCATTTATCTCATTCATCATCCATTTATCTCATTTATCCATTCATCTGTTTCATCCATTCATTTATATATCTCATTATTTCCTACATCAATCAAACCATCTATCTCACCCATTAGACCCAACCCATCTTATCCCATCCATCCACCCATCCATCCATTTTCTTTAAAATGGCTGTGTTTGTACCTTTGTGTTTTCCTCAACATTTTCTAGAATCTATTTGTTTCTTCAGTCTTACTTTACACTGATTAAACATATTGGTTAATGGGTTTTTTATAAGAAAAAAAAAGCCCTGTAATTTCCTGGCTTCCTTCAGTTCTTTATAAACCCTCATCCATCATTCCAGCTTATGGTTTATACACTGTTAATGACTCCATATTTAGTGTAATTCCTTGAGAAAAACATGCTTCATTTTCCATATTGACATACCTATTGATCATGTCTTTACCAGTATTTGCAACAGTTTTATACTGTATGTGGAATTTTATTGACCTGTTCTTAATGATTATTTTTAAAGTTGATGAATTAGCCCTTTCCCTGCTGGAATGAAAAGGTTTTAGCCTTTGCCACCAATATAGAGCCCTGGGGCTGAGGTTTGCTTGTAAATCTGTGCATTTTGACTGCATGCTCTTTACTGTTGGCTAACTAACTTTAAATTTTTTTCTTGATATTCCCAAAATTGATAATAGATTGTTCCAAAAAATAGGAGCTTGATTAAACAATTTAAGAAATTCGGCAGGTCTTGAGTGCCTTTAAATAATCAGAAAAAGGGAATCTTGAGTGTCTTTCAATAAAGTTTCAATGAAGCAGTAACTGTTGTTTATATTTCATTCATTTCAGAATTTTGTTTTTTTAACTGTTTTCAAATCTGTACCTTAATAAGTATAGAATATCTGGTTTAAAAAAAAACAAAAACAGTCCTAAAATTGGTTTTAGTAGTCTACAGCCAGCATTTTGTGAATTTTATCAATGAGGTATAACACACAGGGTTTTAGAACGAGAGTAATAAAGTCCTCAGGGGTGCCTTCCTACAGACATATATGGTTCAAAGTGATAACATTCCATTGGAGAAAAAATTCTCACATTGTTTCTAAGATTACAGTTTTCCAAGTAATGGCATTGCTTCTCGTCCCCTGATGATTGGATAAAAGAATGAAATCGTCATGAAAAAGAGAAAACAAGTTGTTGATTACTTGAAAAAATGTTTCTAAACATTTTAAATGGGATGACATTCTGTTTTAAATTGTAAAGGAAGGGGAAAAAAATTGTTGTTAAAGGAGAAGAAAATTGGAGGAAAAATTTCAATTTCAAGGTCTCGGAAGTTTTTTTCCCAATTTACAGTTTTGCGATGATGAGAGTAGCAACTTTTTTTACTCTCCTTCCTTGACTTAGACTTATAATGATGTATTTTGCTCAAATTTGATAATTAAAAATAGTAAAAATTGCTACACTGTAAATATATAATCAACATGTTTTGACTTCACACAAAGTAGACAGTTATGTTTTAAACTCTACACACTGGCAATTTTTTATTTTTATTTTTTTGCAAAATACCAACTTTAATTGACCTTTAATCCAGGCCAGCCCGCACATCCCTTTCTGAGTCTTACTATAGGCTGTATACTGTTGACTGACCAGGGTGCAGGTAATAATCAAATTTGTGATCCATAAAAATCATCTGTTAAATTCTATTAAAATCGGTTGAATTAAATCAAGCCAGAATCGGGTGAATTTCCAGCCAGAAATTTAAATATTGTCCATGATGACCCTTGGCCAAATCGGTTGTTTTCTCTAGGGCATCTGTTACCTCAGATAAAAATGAAAATGCTGCGGCTGACAAAATATAAATTTTCATCTTTAAATCCCCTAAATTGATAATGGTCAGTTCCAAAAATAGAAACAGGAAAAGTCTTTTTAGGAAATTCAGGGACTTAATAAGGGTTAAATGAAAGTAAAATGCAATTAGAGGAGATATACAAATGATTTAAAATTTCTTCTTTGATTAAAATGTACAAAAAGTTGGTATCGGAACCAAAAATCTCCAGAGATTTCAGGAAGCCATGTATACTGGCGATAATTAACTCCTTTTATAGGTGTCCGTGTTTTGTTTATCTTCATTTAATTGGTAGTAAATTTTCTCCAAGTATGTTTTACCATACGATTCCTTATCATACAAAACAAGCAATCATTTGCATCCAGACTGTTTATAGCCCGATCCGTGACTGATTCCCCGCATCTGTTTCAGCCACTAACAAGAAGTTTGCGAGGTTTCCGAGAAAACTTGTAAAGCACATAGTGTGCTACGTAAATAAAATGTCTGAAATATATACATTTTTTTTATCCATATTAAGAAAATATTCAGGAAGTAAATTTTCAGGAGATGCAGTGATATGAGTATTTTTTTTACATTGAGAATTTGATAATAGAATTTGGTACTAATAAAGGACGAAAGGTCTTGGTATACCTGACATAAGTTTTCTCTGGATAGACGGACAGACGGATGTTCTTCCTGAGTTGATGTTATGGGTTTATTTTTCTTAACTCTTTCTAAACCCTAAAAGCAATCTCTTTTGATCCCATAATTTACTTTTTTCCCCTAAAGTACAGTACATGGAACAAACACAGACATTCAACCCATAATGCCACCTGACTGTGTCAATTTGCATCCATCCGCGTGGATGGATTGAGGGAAAGCTACCATCAATTTCTTGGCAACATTTTGAAAAAAAGTAGCGTTTGATAACCAAATGTAGACCTTGCTATTAAAATCCTAACTGGAAATAAGAGTGCCATTTAAAAGTTTCTCAAAAAATAAGATATGTGGTCTGATAGATATAGTGCACTAATGTGACTGTCTCAATTTTGTAAACTTTGTTTCATGATCCATTATTCAGATCCTCTGAATTGTTAGATATTGTTAGATTTGATTAAGGCAATGTCTAGTTTAGATTGTGTTATTCTATTAGTTGTGTCCTGTCTAATTTCATATTTGTTACTCTGTTGTACAAGACGTCTTGAATTTGGTATTTGTTAATATCCCTTTATTTAGGTTCATTCTAATTTGGTATTATGTAATTCCAGTAATTTGGGTACTCTTTTTTTTGGGGGGGGGGGGACAGATCCTATTACCAAGATTCTTATCTCCTTGAGAATCTGTAGACCATTTTAATGTTTTGTAAACATTTTTATTATGTCTGGAGCTGTAAATGACTTCTTAAAGTCAACTTGGACTGAAGTTATTTTAAGCTGCGGTCAGTCGATTGTTATCCTTTACTTAAGATATATTGACGTCTGCAGGGAGTTTTGCCAGGGAAAAATATATAGAAAAACTCATTGATTTCCAATCTTGGTAGACTGGTCTATAATTGACATAGGGAAATGAAGGGAAATTAAAGTGAAACTTGATTGTTTGTAGAATAATAAATAGCAAATTTTCCTTTGTCTCACCACTGTTCCAAGCCATCTATATAAAGCAATTTGTCTTTGATGCTTCAGTGTATTATTGTATATTAAGGGCTTTCACTCTGTTTAGATGGAACTGAACCTTTCCTGTACGAGGTGAAATTTTCACAATGGGTTGTTTTGCAGAGGGAGAGACTGAACGAGGCTTTTACAGTAAATTAAGTGGCGCTTTATTTGGAGGTGTAACTTTGTTATTTTTGATTATTGAAGGAGTGTCAAAAATGGGTAGTCATTTAATTCAGATCAATACAAGTTTGACTGAATACAGTCAGGTCAGTTACACATATAAGCTCCAGGTCTGAGGATATATACTTAACATTCACATCTTATTGTTGGAATGCCAAAATCTTGATCCATGATAATTGTTCTGCTACTACCCTGGCTATTATCCATTTTTTTCTCTCAGCAGCTTTTACAATGGTTAATGAAGATGGAATTATATTCAAACCTGCCAGAGTTGTCATAATCCATAAGAAAATTCCCATACCTGGTCATGCATTGATTAAAATGATTTTGTTAAAGCAGTTTGTAAGATAGTGCTTGAAGTATTTTTATTTCTGACCATCACTATGTCATTCTGCCACTGTAGTTATAAATTATAAACTACTGCATCTATAAGAAAATAGTTCTTTTGTCTTGCACCGCTTATTCAGAAATCATATTGGATAAGAAGTTGGTCACTTGCAGTCTAAATTGGTAATTACTGGTTAGTTATCCTGTAAGCCAGTTGGGTGACTGATTATAGTGATTATATGATCAAAATGTGTATGTATTAGAATTGGTGTAAAAAACGGATGAAAAACATATTTTTTTTCAACCTGTTATTTTTAATTAACTGCATTAAGTGGTCTAGTTATTAAGGTTGTTGACGTCAAACCACTTGCCTCTCAGGGTTGTAAGTCAAGCTGCCCAGCCTCTTTGGATTCTTCATGTTAGAAAGCTAACCATCTAGCTTAGGGTCAACACTGGTGTTTCTACTCGGGTGCCCTTGTGTGTCTAAGATAATGTACAGAGGGGCACCTGAGGTCTGCCTACAACAGTAAACCTGGAAAGTTGC